CCTCAGAGGCACAGAAAGCATATGACACTCCACCACCCCACAAATAGACCAAAGCTTCAAAACTGTCAAACAAACTCTCCCAAACTATGCAAACAAATGATTGAATCTCGAAACTAGTGCAAGGTCGTTAGCATTCACCCCCTTGCCAGTTAGGGGGGGGGGGGGGCCCAGAGCACCAGGTCTTCCTCAGTCCTCCAAGCCAATTCTGTCGCTGATGAGGACACGATTAGTTGTTCTCTGCAAGGTTCTCAGGTCTTCAACAAGCAGCATGGATCTAAGAACCATGCTGCTAAGTTAGGTGCTGGCCATACTAGGACTTTGTCCTGCAGGGGCCATTTGTTTGCTATTATTTCGTATTTCAGCTGGCTTCACTAGCATGTTTTCTGTCCAGTCTGTACTGTATAGACCTGGCTCATAGGGTGTTTGGAGCTGCATGAACTTGGAGCTACCTTTCCTATGTGCTCCGTAGCACTGCACTTGCCCTAACAGAGTTCTCTTTTTCGGTGTTTGGGAGTGAAGCCAGATCTTGGGTGTGTCCTAGGTCTTTTGCCCTGTCAAGACCCTTGGTTGGGGTGAAAATTTTGGATGGTTCGGCACACTGGGGGGTTGCAAATTTGTTTTACATGTCATGCCGAGATTTTTCTTCACAGCCACATTAAGTTGTGTTGATCTACTTATATTATTCCTGGTGAGCATCCGAAGTGCCTATGTGTTCTGTTTGGTCAATATTTTGGGTACCTGGTAATCTCCTGCAGGTTTCAGCAATTCCCCTCCTAATTCGCTCTCACCTTGTGAGAGTTTGAGGGACGTAGTAGAGCTCGACTTCATCCTCAATCTTTCAGGTTGGACATGTTCATCCCCTGCCCCACTTTCCACATGACTAATCTGGCCCAGGTTCGCTGTTTCTTTCGTTCCCTGTTACAAGGCTTGTGTTTCTCAGGTCATCTACAATGTCAAAGTTCAGCAAGCCTGTAGTCTACCCTCGTGCCCATTATGCTTGTAAATATGCTGCTCTTGTGGTGGTTTTTGCTAACATATACTGGCTGATATTCAGGCATGGGGATTTTGGCAATCTAACAGGGTCTTGGCAGCCTGGAACCAGATTCACGAAACAGTTACGCAAGTACTTACAAATGTGTGCATCTTTCCTCAATCTTTGACGGCTTTAGTTACATTTATTAAACACTTTACAAGCATGAAAACTTCCCAATCAACTGTTATTATTATAAAAAGCCTCCTGGTGCTTCGGAGCTCGTTAACTGTTTAATAATTGTAAACAAAGCCGCCAAAGATTGAGAAAAGATGTAAAGGTTCGTAAATACTTATGTAACTGCTTCGTGAATCAGGCCCCTGGTATTTAGTTAATGTCCCCAGATCTCATCACGCCTGTGTTGCCTTGGGCCATCTCTACACCAGCCATCTCCTCATTAATTTGATTGCCTGCAGTCTCCTCCTCCTTAGTCCGTCCTTGATTTTACTTCTTTACAATAGTTTTGAGAGATTTAATAGTTTCTTTAGATTGTTTGGGAAGAGTTTACACATGCACAAAGAAACCACGTTAATATGATGCATCAATGAGAAAATCAGTGGGAGCTGTAAGAAGGATTTGAACCCATTGTCTGGTTTGGCCTAGTTTGCCACACTCAGTTTGGCAAGAGTTTGTTTGGAAGTTTTAAGGCTTTGGTCTTTTTTGAACCCAGCAATGGTCTGTATTGGTGCACTGACTTTCTGGATGCTTTCCCAGTGGGGTGGTGGAGTGTAATTACCCAAGTGTAATTACCTAAGTGTAGTTACAGGATGAGAGCGACGCTCGTGGTGTCCCGTCTTCCCAGCACTCTGTCATATAACGCTTTGAAACTACTGACGGTCTTGGCCTCCACCACCTTCCCCCCTAACTTGTTTCAACCGTCTACCACTCTGTTTGCGAAAGTGAATTTTCTTATATTTCTTCGGCATCTGTGTTCAGCTAGTTTAAATCTATGACCTCTTGTTCTTAGTCACCTGCTGGCTGTGCCTCTGTGAGGTTAAGGGGAAGGTGGGGGGGAACAAATTCTGGCCTGGTCCCTGGTAGGCCAAACAGAACTCTGCGGCTGATGTGACCTAGTAGTTGGGAACCATCTCGGCAAGATAGCTTCAAGGAGCCACTGGGGCTCATTCAGAAAGAGGCATTTCATTACATTCAACATGGGTTTTTTGTTATCCTTGATTGTCTCTCCATCTTGTGCATCAGTCTTTTGTAAGGAACTCTATCCAGATCCTAGACTGTTTTTTGGCAGTCTAGGAAAATTCATTCTACCCATCCTTCCTACTCGACTTATTTTGGTGACCCTGCCAAAGAATTCAATCTAGTTTGTTAGGCATGATTTTCCATTTATGAAGCCATGCTGTGCTGCCATTATAATATTTATTCTGCAAGTGTTCTACAATCATTTTTCCTGATGACTTTTTCTAGAATCTTGCATGAAATTCATGTTAATGAAATTGGTAAATAGCTTAGTGCTTCATATTTGTCCCCTTTCTTGAGGGGATCCTTGCAGCTTCCTTCAGTAACCATGGTGATATCCGATCTGGTCTTTCTGCATTTGCTTCATCCAGTTCCTCCAGGTGTCTTTTTACCTTTTCTACATCAACTTCAACAATTATGACTAGTGTTGTTTCTGGTCCTCTGTTATTCCCCCTACTTGGGCACCAATCTGGTTCTGGTTTTTATACCTGAAATATCTTGCCGAGTTCTTGACGCTCTTTTTTGTCATTCTTCATGGGTTCCTCCCTGTCCTAGCAGTCTGAATCCTATGATCTAGTACTGTTGTTTTCCTCCGTTTATGGCTGTGCAGCAGCTGAAGTTAACTCTTTGATTTTAACACAATGTCATTCTCAAGCTGCTGCTATGCTGCCCTCCTGATTCAGGTGTACTTATTCCTGGCCCTCATTAGTGCCTTCCATTTACCTGTATACCCATGCTCCTTTACTCTTTCCATGCCTTTTCTGTATTCTTTTCTCCTTACACTGCAGCCCTTGGTTACTTCAACTTGCCTCCCGAGAGGTACTGTACGAACTATTCCATTGCTCCTTTGTATTTCTGCATTATGAGTTCCACCATCTGACTTTAATTACTTTCCTTCCATTTCAGTGTCCCAGTGACCCTCCTGCAGATAATCCCTAACTCTCCTGAAGTCTTCTCGTCTGTATTCTCTCTCACTCTTCCTGTTTCCAACTCTCAGTTCTACAATGTAATCAAACATGATAATGCAGTGGTCACTAGCTCCTAGTGGTACGACATATTTTATGTTCTCTACAACATCTTCATTTAGGGTAAACACCAGGTCTAGGGTAGCTGGTAGATCACCACCACCCTCTCTAGTCGGCTCCTTGATATGCTGCCACAGCAAATGTTTGTCTGTAGTGTCCACAAATCTTGCTCTCTATACTTCATCTCCCCTTTGAGGATCCTTTGTTGACCAGTCTATTTCCCTGTGGGTTAAAATCTCCAAGTATTAGGATCTTTGCTTGAGCTCTTTTTCTATAATCTGAAAGCATGTTTTTCTACATTTATTATATTCTAACCTTGACCTTCATGTAGTTAAATGGATGGCTGTAAATGTCACCACTATCTTTATGGTCCTCACTGTCATCATACCTAGTATGAAATCCTGCTGGTTGATTACCTCTGCAATCTTATCTCCTCAAAGCTACAATGTTGTTTTATCAGTAAGGCTTCTTCCCCCCACCACAAGTTTATTCTTTCTTACTACTTTGTATCCTCCTGAGAATAGGAAACCAGAGAAATTCCTGCGGGCTCAGTGGTACTATGGATACCTCTGCTGAGCCCACTCTCACTTTGTGCAAATTTGAGGCTTGTCCATCATCTGTAAGTGCAGTTTAAATTTCAGGCAAAACATGCAGAGCAAGGCTGAACTCGCTCCGTCAATAATGGGTTACAAAATTATTACATCCACCAGAACTGCTTAGCGGTTCAAAATGATGCATGAAAATATAGTTATATATATGATGTGTGTATATAGTGTAATAACAGCAAAAACAAATGTTTTATTGTTTTAAGCATATAATATTGTGCTCATATTAGTGACGAATATATGTGAGCATTCTGATGTTCTACTCATTCTATTATATAAATTTCTTAAATGACACACGACTGACTTAAAATATTGGAAGAAACCAGAGAAAATAAAATTAAGAGACATTGACATAAATATCTAAAAATCTTAGTGACAACTCCTGTCCCATGGCTGGGCCAGATTCATGAAGCAGTTACACAAGCACTTACGAGTGTGTATATCTTTCCTCAATCTTTGACGGCTTTGGTTACATTTATTAAACAGTTTACAAGCATGAAAACTTGCCAATCAACTGTTGTTATTGTTATAAACAGCCTCCTGGTGCTTCGGAGCTCATTAACTGTTTAATAATTATAAACAAAGCCACCAAAGATTGAGAAAATATGTACAGGTTCGTAAGTGCTTGCATAACTGCTTCGTGAATCTGGCCCCAGGTCGACCACTGCAGGGTGAATGCTGTATGAATGATTAATGGCCAAGGAAAACTGGAAGCTAAAATGAGGTTTTTCATATGGTTCTAAATGTAGAAGAATGCTTTGATCAAGAATTACAAAATGTTGAAATTTTCAAGGTCTAACTGTAAATGCTTAACATTTCAGCAACCTGTTGAATTATATCTCCAATGAACTTTTACAAGTCACTCTTTGTCATTACAGATGTCTATTTAACAACTTTCCAACAGATTATTTCATCTCTCAAACATATCTCCAGGTCCAGAGGTCAACAATAGCCCCAAAATAGGTTCTAATTAACACTTACTCTTTTCTTTCATAGCAGATCCTGAAAAAAAGATGCCCCCTCATTTCAATTTTATAACACATCATTTGGTTCACTAGTCATTTACCTACAATTAAAGTCAAGAGAACCACTGCCCCTCACACCCAAGGCTTGGACCGGGTCGCAGAGTGCAAGAAATAAATTTACCTTTCCTCAAGCTTCAATTTGAAAACGAGCACAATAATGAAGTGGATGCCAAGCACCACGAACACTTTCCATGTGTACGCAAGGGTGAAGAGTGTACACGCTATTGCTCTTGACACAACCTGTAAGAATAAAGATATCCATTAGTGTTCAAATAATTATCCTTGACACAACCTGCTGCCATTAATAGTCATGCAAAAGTTGCCAATAAACACCAATTTTCATACAGAAATGCACAAGGAAATTACCAGAAACAGAAATATTAAATAAATGAATATATACCATAATTGATGATTGTTTGGAAATGTGGAGAAGATTTGTGGCAGGTTTGTGCAGAAAGAAGAGGAAAGTGAAGTGTGGGGGCGAGAGAGAGCTGTTGCTACAACTATGCTCAAGAAATGTTAACTGGAGAATTATGAAGGCATGAGACCTCATAATGACATAAGGGGCATAGAACAGGTCAGATATTTAAGGATTACATCGAGGCTTTCAGTCAGGGCCTCACACAGAGGAGTTTCCAGGTGTACATTGTTGCAGATACATACAGTATAAATATATGTACTATAAATAGATATATATACTACACAAAATATATACAGTAGTTTGCTAATGCAGTTATGAATTAACTTCCCAATGACGTACTTCGCCACCACAGAAATTCAAACACTTATAACTCGAAAAAACCAGCGTTGAATGCAACGAAATGCCATTTTCTGGGTGAGTCCCGGAGGCTCCCCGTAGCTATCCAGGCTGATTTGCTTATGTCAGACTTTGGCATCAGTCATGTGTATGGAGAATAGAGATAAGAGAATAGAGAAAACCAAGGAGAAGTGAGATAAGAGCACCCTGTCAAGCGACCAGGACGGTTCAAGCGGCGCACGAGCAGGCCGGAGGTGAAACAACGCAGGAGGCAGCTTGCGAAACGGTGCAGAAGTAACATCAATACCGAAAGCAAGCTGCAGCAGCTCCGCCAACACCGCACGATAGGAGGCGACAGTATCTGGCATAAGACGACGATCCTGGAACAACCAAGAAAGAAAGGGCAAGACAACCTTAACAGACAGCGAAGTATACCTATGAAGTATATCTCAAGACCATCTAAACCCTGCCCCGACTCGCAAACCCTCAGACGTTTCGGAGCCAGAAGCTTACCAGACCGAACCACAGGAGGGGTAGGATGAGGGGGCGTGGACGAAACCAATGCCGAAGCGACCATCATCCCCAAGTCCGGGTCCCTATAAGCAAAACGAGGCAGCCTCGGGACATCCGGCGTAGCAACCAACCTAGAGCGTTGCAACAACCTAAACCTAACATGCAACGCTTGCGCTGCCTGTACCCGAAGAACGTCATCAGTAGACTGGGTAAACTGAGTCACCAGCAAGCAACAAAACTCGCAAGACTCCGGGTTGAAGGTGTCACCGAACCAAGTGGCAGCAAAAAAAATGGAGGCAAAAACAATGAGTCATCCTAAGACAAGGGGACCGAACAACCCTCAAACTCGCACAAAGCGAGGGGGGACTCAGGAGTCACATCCATCGGACCCACTCGCCCTCTTGGGGATTTCCAGGGTCCTGAGACGGAACTCATGCTTGGGAAAGCCCAGGCATGGTACTGCTAACCAGCACCCAAATCTACCAAACGACTCGCTAAGAGCTGAAAACCTGGGATGTGTACACTCACGGGGACCAAGCAGGGGATACCA